ACAAAAACGCACCAGTGGTTCACATCTATAATCCTAGCTACTCAAATCAGAGGATCAAGTTCAATGCCAGCCCAAGCAAACAAATCTGAAACTTTCCTTTTTGTCCATCCTGAGGCTTGAACTTTGGATCTGGGCACTGTCCTTGAGCTCCCTTGCTCAAGGCTCTACAACTTTGAGCGACAGCTCCACTTCTGGCTTTTTGTGGTTAATTGGAGATAAGAGGCTCAGGAACCTTTCTGCCTGGGTTGGCTTCCAACCATGATCCTCAGGTCTCAACCTCCTGAGTAGCTAGGACTGCAGCTGAGCCCAGCTGAGAGAGACTTTTATCCCAATTGATCACAAAAAAAACAGCAAGGGAGCTTTAGCTCCAGTGTTACAGTGCTAGTCTTGAACCAAAAGGAGATTGTGAGCTCCAGGTAAAAAGCAACAATAAGCCCCAACTTCCTAGCTTCTACAACATAAACTCCTATTCATTTTTCCTTGAGTATTGTCTTCTGTCACCTATCTCCCTCTTCTGTCTTCCCTGTCTTTCCTTTAGTTTTCTCTCTGTAACCTCTTTCATCTCTAAACCTCAGTTCCCTCACTTTCTTCCCCAGTATCTCTGAGGACATATTCTCAGCTGGTCCTAGAAGTTCCTTGCACTCCTGTTCTAAAACGCTCTGGTGTGTTCATGACTGTCAGAATTAGCTTCCTGGCCTCACTCCAAGGCCTGTTGGATTTCCCTGTAGCAAGGCCCCTTTGGGGATCTCACAAACAGAAAAGACAATAGATCTGCTGGACACAAAGCCAGATAAGCAGTTTTTTTTTTCATCTGACAAGTCAACTGTGAAGCCTAACATCTGAAATCAGAAGTGCTTTAGAGTTGGAATTATAATTTTTTAAGATGAAAAAGATGTATTTTTCTTTGTCTTGTCACCACTTAATAGCACAAAAATGCTTTACTCAAACTTTTTTTTTCTGGCACAGGAATTTAAACTTAGGGATTGCTCAATTTGTGTGGCTGGTCCTCTACCACTTGAGCCATGCCTCTAAACCCTGCTGGAACAAGGGCTTGAAGTCACTCAAGGCTGATGCTCTACCACTTGAGTTACTGCTCCAATTCCAACTTTTTGCTGGTTAATTGGAATTGGTGGAAAGAGTCTCATGGACTTTCCTGTCCCAGCTAGCTTCCAGCCTCAGTCCTCAGATCTCAGCTCCTAAGTAGCGAGAATTTCAAGTGTGAACCACTGGAGCCTCACCAATGGTTATTTTGAAATAAGAGTGCAATCTACTTCTTGTTGGAGTTGGGATGACAGGTGTACCACTTGCACCCAGCTACTTGTTGAGAAAGGGTCTTTGGAACTTTTGGCCTTCAACTTAGATCCTTTTGATTTCAGTCTCCTGAGTATCTAGAATTACAGTTGTGAACCACCATGCCCATCTGGCCTGTTATTATTATTATTGTTGTTGTTTAAATGAAAAACATATAGAAGAAACACACAAGGAGCCAAATGCTAGTGGCTCACACCTGTAATCCTAGCTACAAAGGAGGCTGAGATCAGAGGATCATAATTCAAAGCCAGCCTTCACAGGAAAGGCTTTGAGGTTCTTATCTTCAATTAACCACCTAAAAGCTGTGGCTCAAAGTGGTAGAAAACTAGCCTTGAGCAAAAGACCTCAGAGACAGCACCTAGGCCCTGAGTTCGAGTCCCATGACTGACAAATGAAGGAAAAGAGGAGGAACAGGAAGAGGAAGGGAAAGCAGAAGGAGAAGGAGAAGGCAAAAGAGGTGGAGGAAGAGGAGAAGAGGAAGAAGAAGAAGAAGAGGAGAAACACAAGGGATTGGGGATATAATTCAGTGGTAGAATTTGCCTATCTTTGATGAAGCTCTAGATTTGATCCCTGCATTGTAAAACAAAAATTAAAACAAGGAGGAAGCAATAGATGAAGTGAATCTGTCTAAATTGTAATATGTGCACATGTACATGGTCAAACCCCTTTGTATGATTACTACATGCTTAAGAAATGAATTGCAAGCGGGGTGTTGGTGGCTCACACCTGTAATCCTAGCTACTCAGGAGACTGAGATCTGAGGATCATGTTTCAAAGCCAGCCAGGGCAGGAAAGTCTGTGAGACTCTTATCTCCAATAAACCACTCAGAAAACTGGAAGTAGCTCTGTGGCTCGAGTGTTAGTGCACTCCCCTTGAGCTGAAGAACTGAGGGATAGCCCCAGGCCAGAGTTCAAACCTCATGTCTGACAAAAAAATAATAAAATAAATAATCACAGGCTGGGGATGTGGTTCAGTGGTAGAATGCTTGCCTAGCCTGCATGAGGCCCTGGGTTCGATTCCTCACTACCACATAAGCAAAAAGAAAAAAAGCCATAAGTGGCGCTGTGGCTCAAGTGGTAGAGCGCTAGCCTTGAGCTGAAGAGTTGAGGGACAGCACCCAGGCCCAGAGTTCAGGCCCTACGACCGGACCCAAAAAAAAAGAAAAGAAAAGAAAAAAAAAGAAATGGAGAGGGTGAATAAGGGTGAATATGGTCACAGTATTTTATAAGCATATATACAAAACAAAACAATGAAAACTGTTGTAATTGTTTTAAGAAGCAAGGGGCACTGGGAACAATGGCTCAAGCCTGTCATCCTAATCTATGGAGAAATCACAATGGCTGGGTTTATGTTCTTCCTGATCATAGTGATCCCAGAGACAAAAGGAGGTACAAATAGGATGACAGTTCAGGCTGGCCTGGCCATCAACCAAGTCCCTATCTTAAAAATAACCAATTTGAAAAGGGGCTATGGTAGTATGCTTGGTTGGCAAGTGCAAGATCCTAAGTTCAAACCCCAGTACTACAAACAAACAAACAAACAAAGATAGGGATGAGAGATGAGGGAAAGAGTGATGGACAGGGTGAGTTTGATCAGGGATGAATGAATGGATGTCATAATAAAACCTTTCTCCCTCTTGATCAAGTAATATATACTAAAATAACAACACTAACAAGAAACCTATGGCTAAGAAGAACATAAGCATTAGCATCCCATTTTGAGGTAAGGCAATGCTAACTACTATAGAGCTTGAACATAAGCTAGGGTGCTGCTGGGTGAAAAAAATATTAAATGCAACAGCAGGTCTTTCTGCTGAGACCAGATCCTACCAAGAATGTTCTGGACTTTGAGAACCATCAAGCATAAGGGTTTGATGGCCAGTGCCAAAAAATATGTGAGGAGGTGCTGGATAAGCTGGTTTGAGTAAGCAATCTGTTTCTTGTAAAATACTCATGCCAGCAATCTGTCAGTCAAATTACTGAGTATCTAAACTATATTTCATTTTTGCTACTTATGTTGGTAATAGCCATTATAACTTAAAAAAATCCAGAACATACTTTGTTTTAGCTATGATATGCTTTTATTATTCTTTAATTTGGAACCTCAGTGTGTGGCTGCACCAACAATGATATCTTGGAAGTGGTCAGGCCATTTGTCTTGTGTAATATTGTAAAGATCAAATCAGATAACCATATTCAAAAAACAAAATCTGCTGTAAAACCACTGAGTCACCATGTTTATGAACTTGAGCTATGGGGCTTTCTCTGGTAGCTATATAAATTTAGGCACCACCCTATACCTTAATAACATTTCCAAAATGAAGAATGTAGCAGTACACAAATTAATATGTAAAGTGTAAAGTCTTCAGAGCAATTCTTATTGAAGTAGAAGTAGAACTGCTGTAAAATACGAGCTTAAAGATCTGTGTCACCAGGGCTGGGAAGATGGTTTAGTACTTGGTAGGTAGAGTGCTTGCCTAGCATGCATGAAGCCCTGGGTTTTATTCCTCAGTACCACATAAACAGAAAAAGCCAGAAGTGGTGCTGTGGTTCAAGTAGTAGAGTGCTAGCCTTGAGCAAAAGAAGCTCAAGGACAGCACCCAAGCCCTGAGTTCAAGCCCCAGGACTGGCCAAAAAAAAAATCTGTGTCACCTAGGAAAAAATTTTTTTGCAAGTATAATAATGATTTTTTTTCAGCGCTTACTAAATATCTACAATTGTGTCAGGTGCTATAATGAAAATCAAACAGCAGGGGACTGGAAGCTGACACCTGTAATCCTAACTATTCATTCGGGAGGCTGAGATCTGGGGATGGTGGTTTGAAGCCAGCCTTGGTAGGAAAGATCTTGTCTCCAATTAACCAGCAAAATCCAGAAGTGGGGTCAAGTAGTAAAGGGCTAGGTTTGGGGGGGGGGGGGGAGCGCCAAACAAATAACAAAAAAATCTAACCCAGGCACAGTGCTCAGGCCCAGAGTTCAAGCCTTAGTACTGGGGCAGACACAAATGGTTACAAATTCCGAGTAGTCAAAGAAGAGGAACCGGGAAACATTTCATCCAGACAGAACCACTTGAACAGATGGGTAACACGGGGTGACAAGGTAATGGGAAAGAAGGACAAACCGGTGAAGCACGACATTATAGGCTAGTAAAGGTGAGGTATAAACACGGATCTCCAGGCCAGAAGTAAAGGAAGCCATTTTAGTTTCCTGAAAATGCGTTTTTTAAAAAAGTGAATAAAAACTGGGTGCGCATGGCTGTGCAAAAACAATCCCTCAAAGTGTACGCCTTCTTTGTCTCTCACCTGCAGCAGGCATGACCCAGGGATGGTCCACCAGGAAACCCGCATTCCGGGCCACGCACCCACATCCCTGACGTTGAATCCCACCTAGAATGCGCCTGTTAACAAGTAGTTTACTAAGTTTAGCAAAGTGTAGGAAGGAGAGCCTCACAAATCTGTGATGCTGGTGACTGGACCTAAGAACAGAGAAGTAAATGGAAGCGGTCGAAGGTGGGGTGTGGGGGGGTGCGGGGACAGGGACCGCGGGGCGTTCGGGCACAAGCCGCAGGGGTCGGGGGTCGGGCGGCCCTCGGAGGCCCCCCGGGGCCTGAGCCTCTGGCGCAGCGCGTGTGCTCGCGGGCGGGGCGCCCTACGGCCAATCAGAGCTGGCATCCGGGGCGGGGCGGGGCTTGCCGTTCTGCCTCCGCGAGTCCTCCTTTTTGCACACACACGAATACAAAGAGCCATACGACCTTCGGGTATCCTTTTTCCATTTTTTTCCCCTCCTTAATCTTGTGTGTGTGTTTAAAAAATTTTTTTTTCAAGTAGAGATCTGTAGCAGTGCTGGGGTGAGGAAACTGTTGCTAAGGGGAATTTGCTCTTTTCCCCCATTTCTTTTTCTGTCTCTCTTCCTCTTTCTTTTTCCTGGCCGAGGTTTTGAATATACCAAGAAGTTAAGACGCAGGATGGCCGTGTGCAACTGTTTTCAGTCAAATTTATAGACATTTTCCCCCCTTTTTACTATCACTATGGTTGAGGGACTTAAATTTTTAGATTCTTGGGGAATAGAGATTGCTTTTTAATTGGGCTGAAGGGATAATGTAAATTTCTACCACGGGCAAAATCGAAGGAAGCAGAGAGACTAAAGGCTCCTTCATAAAGCCATTTGGCGTGTATTTTACACACCCTCCTCAGAATCAAAACCAAGTGGCTTGGTTGTGGCAATTATCCGAGGCCAATAGATTGAAAATATTGGGGTGTTCTAGTTGGAACACTAATTTCCCCAGGGAGAGGGAAAAGCCTGGCTGATGGTGTGTCTTGAACCCACAATTTCATGAGGACATTTCTCAATGTATGTGTGTTTCTTAAACAATCTTGTAGAGATTTATTGGGGTTTATTCTTTATGTATGTGTACAGTATGTGTATATGTGCCGTATCAGATTTTATTTTCAAGTATTTATCTTTGATTGTATGTGTGCAAAGTAGACCCTAGGATGTGAATGTTTCTGTTGTGTTCCCAAATGTGATCAAAATAGGATTTCATGTAAAAAAGTAAAACTTAAAACTCTATGCCTAACATACTTAGGCACTTTCATTCTATGTGCATTTGCTATATTTTGCTGCTCTTCTTAAAATGATTGGATTAGCAAATAATTAATTGCCAGAGTAGTATATAATCCATGTGGCAAATGCGAGTAGGCAGTTTATTGAAATGTGTGGTTCAAAAACGCCTTTAGTGATTGTTTTTCCTAAGTGGTTTTGCTTTTTATTGTCTCACGTTCTTAAATGTACAGCTGTGTATATTTTGGCCTTTATGTGTGGTTTGGGTGGTGTGTTCAGAAGGGAAGTTCTCTTGGCTTTTTGACAAAATGGTTGTTTATTGGTTGAGAGTTGTTTGAAAACCTCCACAGCTGGCAGAGCATAGCATGAGGGGGAAAAAAATCCAGTGAAGTTCAAATTGAAAAACTTTCATGGTGGTGGTGATGAAGAAAGGGGGGGCTGTAGGAGTTAAAGGCAGATAATAGGGAAAGAGATGGATTTTGGTTATGTTGTATTTTTTAGGTGAAAAGGTTTCTCCTCTTGTTTTAGGAGTCTTTGAGAAAAAAAATCTAAATGAGGACAATAAGCTCAGAGCAGAGCAACGCCCCTCTCTTTATAGTAGCTGTATTGTCATTTCCTTTTGTTACTATTTCACTGTCTCAGGCGTGGACAGAAAATACCCATAATCCAAAAGTGTACTCACAGATTAAAATGAGAGAAAGCATAGTAAGTATATGGGAAGATTAAGGAGAAACTGGAATGTCACTGTGTGGCAGATTTAAAGAAGGTTTCACTGCAAGGTTCAGATTTCACTACAAGAAACCTTTGGGTGACTGAATTCAAACATTCTCATTCAGCTAGTAACCTACTCCCCTTCAAGAAGGGTTTAAAGACACCTAAATAATATAAGGATTATATAGTGTATATTATAATATTAAGTATTATATAAGCAATATAAGTATTGTTACAAGGTCTTGAATTCATTATAAGGAAAATAGCCTGAGGGCTCTCGCGGTCTTACCTACACTGGATGTCTTTTTATTCCCTAACAAAACAAGTCAGATCAGTGCTTAATCAATACTGGCTTGAATGTGGCTCACTGCAAAAATTGAGACCTCTTTGAAACCACTAGCTCAGTGATTTTGTGACCACCGTAGTGATGGCAATTCTGAGCAGAATGCACTTTTCCGCGTCACTGCAGGTAGTCACGTACTCCAAGCTGCCTAGCAAATGGAGAACAGGCTGTCCTAGAGCGGTACACAGCCAGCCAGGGCCACCCATTTTCTACAGCTTGTACCCAGGCTCAAATCCCGTGTTCTCACTTTGAGTTTTTTCCTGTGTAAATAAAAGGGGAGTCTCCCCGAATACACTGGATACTAGCTAGGTTGGCTTGAGCTCGGTGTCAAAGCAGAGCTCAGTAGATCTGGCCTGAGCGCCTGAGGGATGAAAACTCGTTTAAGGAGCTGGTACTTAGCAAGTGTTAATATGAAAGATCCGTAACCAAGGCCGGCAGTAACTAAAACTCTGCCACCACCAAACACGAAACCAGTCTGTGGCCACTGTACTTACAGTCGTGTACACATCTTTGTCAGCAGCAAAGAACAATAAGCGAGTAAACAGAAAAACAGTTAAAAATGGCGTCGGACGGCCTTGAAAAAGCCTAGCAGTCGTGTCCCTCCCTGAGCAGGCCCTCCCATTACTGGCTCTTTGAGTGACTGGGAGTGGCCGCCAATAGCGTCCCAAGGTCTGTGCCCCCCGCTGCCCAACCGCCAATCACCACGAGCCAGAAGCCCACCGGGGCGGTGCCTCTCCCCGTGCGCTCGCTAGCCCGGTACACGGCTGGCGCAGCGGGCTGCTCCGCGGCTGCCTGTCGCGCGGGCGGTCTTAGAGCCCGCTGCTGTGCTAGTGCGGGCACACGCCGCGGGAAGACCGACCGACAGGTTGGCTCCCAAGGCGAATGCTGCTCCGAGCCCAGGGTCTCCAAGCTTTCGCGGCCACCTAGCCTAACCACGAGATCCCCGGCGGCACCTCGGGCCCTGGGCTCTTCCCGCCGCCCCGCTGAGACCCCTTCCGTGAACCCCCGGGCAGTTCTCCCCGGCCAATGTGGCTTGGGGACCGGGATGCGTCTCTGCCGGGAGCCTAGTGGCCTAATGGTCGGGAATGGGCGTGCCGTCCCTGCTGCTCACCTAGTCATCTTTGGCTAATATTTAATCAGCTAATATTTACATTTATCTTGGACTCGCTGAACCCGTGGCGGAGTCTCTAGTTCTCGAGTTTTCAGTTTCTCAGCAATGCAGTAAAAGCCCCTTTTCACATCAGATAGATTTGTTTGAAAAGCTGAACGCGGAAAGTTTAATCCCCTAGGGTTGCACTTAAGCAAATGTAAGTAAGTAGCCGGGACTGTTGTTATTCTAGGTGTAAAAGTCTTGCTACAAAGCCAAACACGGAGCTGGAGGTTCGTGAATTCCAAGCCAGCCTGGGCTTCATAGTAGAGGCCCAGTCTCAAAAATAAGAAACAAAAATATCTTGTGATTATAGCAGAGCGCCGGTGGCTCACGCCTGTAATCTAAGCTACTCAGGATCTTAGGATCGCTGTTCAAAGCCAGCCTGGGCAGGAAAGTTTCTGAGACTCTTATCTCCAGTTAACCACCAGAAAACTGGAAATGGTGCTGTGGCTCAAGCGGTAGAGCGCTAGCCTTGAGCTGAAGAGCTGAGGGACAGCGCCCAGGCCCAGAGTTCAAGCCCCATGACTGACACCCCCCCCCCCCAAAAAAAACAACAACAAAACTTGTGATTTGTATTTATTTTTAATTAATTTTTTCGGTCGTGTGGCCTGAACTCTGGGCCTGGGCGCTGTTCCTCAGCTCTTCAGCTCAAGGCTAGCGCTCTACCGCTTGAGCCACAGCACCACTTCCGGCTTTCTGGTGGTTTACTGGTGATAAGAGCCCATGCCTGGGCTTGCTTTGAACCAGGAACTTCAGATCTCAGCTTCCTGAGCAGCCACCTTCAGCCTTCTGGCTTTTTTTTTTTTTTTTACAACTGATAATGAGGTGTTATATTCTTTTGCAACTCATTAGACTCATCACTGCTTTTAAATGTAGAAAAATTGTATTTTATGGGTATCAGCTTATCTGGTCTTGTGTGAGAAGGCACTCATTTCTGATAGAAAAAGGTTTTGCAGCTGGGTATTGTGGCTCATGCCTGTAATCCTAACTACATAGAAGGCTGAGATCTGTGGATCCTGGTTTGAAGTCATCCGGGGGGATTTGTCTCCAATCAACCAGCAAAAAGCCAGAAGTGGAACTGTGACTCAAAGTGGTAACATGCTAGCCTTGAGTGGAAAAGCTAAGTGTCAGTACCCAATCCCTGAATTTAAGCCCCAGGATCTGTGTGTGTGCGCACACAGATGCACACACACACAGACTTTGAGAGGATCTTCTAACAAGCCATTTTGCAACTTGAAGTGGAAGAGCAGGACTGACAGCAGAGCAGGAACTTTCAGTGTCCATTTTCCTTTTTTGTTTCTTAAAATGGAGATTATGATACCAATTGCCATACTTTCTACAGTCACATTTAAGAAAAGTCCATTTGTAGGCTGACCCTGAACGAGTCAAAGACCCATTATAAGAACATATATCATCTGAGGGATACCATATCATACCCATCTATTAAATAGTGAAAAAACTTTTATTTTTTTCATAGTTTGGAGGTGAACTCAGTCATGCAGAAAATTCAAACTCAGAATGGGGAAAAAGCAAGCTAGACAGCTGCCAAGAGTATGATATATTTAGTCCTAACAAAAGTACATGTGACTAGGGAGGAAAAGGATAGTTAAGATTATGGACCGTCTCACCCTGAACTGTCTGACTAGAGGAGATGAGTTTTCTATCTTTTTTATCCAAATATGAAAAAAATATCAAGATTATTAAGAAGTACATTTTCTAGGCTAATTTCACATGGATTAAAATTAAACCAATACTGAATTCTATGCAAACCTCTGTTTGGTATCTGTTGTCATTTTGTTGGCAACTCGTGCAATTATAGATCTTCACACCCATTTCTAAAGCTTCTAGAGTTTGAAAAGGAATGCACATTATTTCATGGCAGTCAAATTTAGCTTTTTGTATGCTTTTTCCCTTGAACAAAACTATGAACTCTTGGTTTTATTTTTTCTGATTGTTTTATTTTGTTTGCAAGTACTGGGGTTTGGGCTCAGGG